TTGGCTGCCATGGAACAGACCAAAACACCATCTATGCCAGAATCCTGACTGTGATAGCTGCTAATGGTGTGTGGTGAGCAAAGCACAAAAGAATAGGCAAGCATGTATTATACACTACCCCTCGCTCCCATCTGCCATGTATTTGCAGTTCAGATGCATCCTGAAACAGACAGTTTTTGTGGTATTAGTATCTTTTAACAGATTTCTTTTCCATGAATTCTCAGTCTCTCTGTAAACTCATGTAAACTTTATTACCCACAGCAGCCTTTGACAAGAAGTTCAGTGACTCAGCTACTGCTGCCTGGTCATGACTTTATTGAGCTTTGTCATCTCCCTTCTGGTCTGAGGGGTTCTACTTTACGTAGTGATTCCTTAGCTGTAACTCCAAGCCTTTCATTCTCCTTGCTACACTACTCTGAATCTTTTCTAGTTCTATTATACTGTTTTTCTGTTGCAGAGATAAGAGCTACATTATTCACGATGGAGATTTATACAGTGATATAATAATTAGTGGTTTTATGTTCTGCTTCCTTCCCAATAGTATAATTTGATTTACTTTTTTTGATTTCCAGGAAGCATAAGCTGATATTTTCATGGATTCATCTACTGTACCCCTAAGATCTTGTTCCTGGATTGGGGTTGTCAGCTCAGAGCACATCAAGATGTCAATTTGTCTTTTTTTTACACTTTTTCATAAAGTGTATCACTTTGTATTTATCTACACTGAATTCCTCTTGCCAGTCATTCAGTCTTAAGAAGTCTTTGTACAGTTCTTCATAGACATCTGGTTTTCTTAGTGCTCTGAATATCTTCCTGTGATGGCAAACTTTGTCATCTTACTGTTCACTCCTTTTTCCAGGTCCCTTATGCACATACTGAACAGCATAGGCCTCCTAGAAAGAACTATTTATTCCTTATCACTTGTAGGCCCGTTGGATTTTCTTCTTGCCTATAAGCTTAATTGTCCTAGCTGATGCCAGTTAGCATCTACAACTGAGAAAAAGCTTTCCTTGCACCCTAAAGCTTCATGTAGGAAGGAGGCACAATTACAGCCAGTGGCAAGGTGTGCAGATACTGAAGTCAGCAGGGTTTTTTAGGACAGGGAGAGTATGTCAAGAGTTAACTGATATTTGAGCACTTTGGCAGTTTTCAGCAGTAAGAGTTGTCCCTTACATGTGTTTTTTTTCCAGGTGATGCAAGGATCCATGTAGCAAAGATAATCACTTCACCACCCCCCACCCCCCCCTTCCCGATGAGAATTACTGAACATAAAATTTGGCAGCATAAATTTTGACAAATACAGGACAAGGGACATTTGCTTTGACGGAAGACCTAGTGGGAGGGAGGAGTCTTCTATAATGTTGCATATGGGCAGATTCATTTAGTTATTCTGAGAATTCCTGCAGTAGAGTCTCTCCACCACACAAACTTCTTCCTATGCAAGTGTTTTCGCATGAAGTATCCAATCCTTGGTCACTGTGGCTGTCACATACACATTAGGTTTAGAAAGGAGAATGGAAAAGATCGGATTCCAGATTCAGTCTTTTGAAGGAGACCTCATGGCTATTAGGCTATTCTGATTATCTTGGATGTAATTAATGATGGTTTTGGAAACCCAGAGCTCACTAGTACTACTACTGTTCCTTTCCATCCCTGCTGCACTGCCTGAAATGGCTATTTAGGACATTCCTTTCTGAGCTAGTGATGGGGAAAAACCCAAAACCTCTGTCAAACAGTGTGTTGTGGTCAGTCTTTTTGGCTGTAGCCCAGCCAAGGAGAACAATGAAGTTGAGTGCAAGAGAAATAGTATTAACTACTTTTATAGGAAAAATATTCTAAAACCTTCAGAAAAAACTTGCTGAGTCTCTTACAATTTCAAACAAAACATTTTATTCCAATGCTTTGCATTATTTCTGATGTATTCTAGAGAAAATATGTACTGAATGCCAGAAATAATACATCTTGCTGAGACAGATTTAAAATAGCAAGTATTATGTAAGGGTATACACAAAACCAAAAATGGCTGAAGGGATTGATCAGAGCAGAAATGGAAGAGAATATCTATAGAACACAAGCATTTACAAGAAAAAGTCTGGCAAATAAATTATTTAAAGTCTATTGCGTGGATCTTTTAAAATATTTTTTACCAAGTTAAACACAAAAAGGAACATGCAAGACATAAACCAGAAATAGCAAACTTTGTTCATAAAGGCAATATCACAGAACTCACTTCATAGACAAAAAATATATGCAAAGATGGGAGCTAAAGAAGTTCAATAATGTGTAAATATATCCATCATCCATTAGTAACAGCAAACGGCATACTGCAGTCAGTCCAACGTACCACATTTTTCCAATGTCCTATTAGTTTCCGTGGAACAAATATTCTGGTTTGTTTTAAGGTAAAAAGAGATTTGAAATCAGTGATCCATGTTACTTTTAAAAGCACTTTTAAAATAAATGTTGATTTAGTCTTTCCTCTCTTTCTGAAAAAGAATATGATTCAAGCTTGGATTTTCTTTTCCACTGGTACACTAGTATCTATGAAGTCTGTAGCATAAATGTACAGTTTGTCCATTAGAACTTGATTGTCTTAGCTGCTGATGAGATACTAAATAAAGGCACTCAGGAAACTTTTTTTCCCTTTAATGATTATTCCAGTACCAGAAGGGTGACAGAACCCAGGGACAGGAGTTGCATCTCAACATACCGCATTTTGTATGGGACTCTCAGACACAGACAGAACATTCCAAATGCAGCCATTTCAAGAGCAGGAAATTTGGCTGATCTGCACACTTGAGAAGATACCTTTATGTTTCTGATTAACACTGAGTGAGTCTTGGTCACAGAAGAGGAGGTCATAAATTATTATTTGCATGGTTTTCAGCAGTTTTGGTTTCAAAGTTTGCTGAAAATCAAACAAAAATGGAAGCATGCCCCTCCCCAAAATAAGCAGCTAAATTAATCTATAATGCAATATTGTAGATTTATAATGGAGTTAACAATGACAGAATCTTTCTGGTTTTTAATGAGACTGTCTCACAGAGTTGTTGAATCTAGGCCCTTGTTTCTGCTCACTGAAGCAGCCTTTATTTATAATCAGGAATATGGAATCAAATTGAGTTTGAATTGGAGTATGTACATGGCATTTGCAATCATGAAATTTCCAGCTGTAGTAGCTAGTAGTTTGAAGGGCTCTACCATTATGTTTTTCTGGATACTACTAATCCACTTTATAAAAGATCTGACCATTGTCTGTTCAATTTACAGTTCCTCAAAGACTATAATTCCATTAAAAACAGTATAGATATTACAGAATGAACTTTAAAATACCTACCTGAAGGCAAAGATTCATCCAATATTCTCCGTTCTCATGGTAAGCCTTCCAGATAGATGAGTGAAATGATCAGTGGCACTCTTGGTAGCAGTCCTAGAGAGCTAGTCTCTACAGTTGGCTGAGAACAGGTCTGATCCTGCTGTCGAAACAATCACTCAGGCCACACAAGAAGCAAGCTGGTGCAGAGCAGCTCCTACCCTGAGTCCTATTGTCTGCAGGAGGTATAGAGAGTCAGGCCCTGGTTCATTTGTTCATGACGTATGGATGAACTGAGCACAGTCAAGCGTTATCTTGGACTGGCCCCATCTAGCAGCAGGTGTGCCAGAATAATGCTTTAGTGCTTCACTGGAGCAAAAGACTGTGGGTTGTTGCTTGTATCTGAGCTTGGATTTCCTTAAGCACAGTGTGGAGAGTATGTGTCTAGGCTACAGATAGGGTATGGCCAACCAGAAGCTAACTGTGGGGTTTATGTAGTTGTACTGCAGACATTACAAAAGTCAGATAACAGATCTCACTACAAGATGGAAAGATGTTCTTAAAATGTGTTGGAGGAGCCAGCGGTTAGTCTTCAATTCAGTATCTGAAGAGCATGAAGTAAACTTAGGCCTGACCCACTCCCTTTGTCTAAGTGTAGATTTGAGGCAGCTCAACATAGCAAGTGCAAAAAGGAAAGTCATTCTAGCCCTGTGAGAGAGGGATAAGTAGGGATAGCAGTAGTCATGAGAAAGCAGTAGTTACAAGGTGTTCAAAGTAATAAACATACTCAGATTAAACAGTACTGGAGTCAGGTAAAGAATGGATAATTGGGAGATTTAGTACAATCTTAAGTTTCAGCCATCAAAAAAAATACAAATGTCATTAACTTGACTGGGTAGACTGGTCTTCAAAACAAATTCAGACTAAACCATCTCCTAAGAAGGTTTATCAAAAAGTGAGAAAGTGATAGTAAGGGAATTTTTGTAGCACACAAAGACAAATGCCCTAATGTTTCTTACCTGTTATCTTATTAACAGCCATAAAATCAAAGATATTTGCCTTTTACTGCTATAAATGTGATATGAAGAGGCTTCTTTATCCAACTAAACCAAGAACTGCAAACAGAAGACTAGCTTCATTTTAGGTCAGGATGGCAGAAGGTATCTGTTCCATTTTAGGCCCTGGTAGAAGTTTTAGAAATTTGCTATTAGAAAACCAGTTGAACCTTTTGACACATAGGCAGTTGGCATTTGAGAACTTCAACCTTAAATTTTTTTTTTTAATCTCATTTTAATTATAAAACTTTATGTCCCTTTTTTTTAGTTTTACAAGTACCTCCAAGTTCTCTGCTTGGTCGTCTGCTTCCTTAAATTTTTTAGAGGATGTTATATTTCATATTTCCTGAGTGGATATATGTTAATTTTCCTTTTTAGATAGAGCATTCACATCTACTTCCAGCATTATCATTGGAGCAGTATCTTTTGACCTGCACCTGCACTGATAAGAGTGTGAGACAAGAGGTCCAAATGAGTGACTCAACTAAAAGAAGACCACTCTGAAGGTACTTTCAGACATCACAAAGGATAGGCTAGGGAGAAAGGATGTGGACAATATGTTATCTTCTCCCTCGATTCACTGTATTCACAACCACCTCTTGACCAGATTGTGGCTGTGATACTTTGAGATGTTACAGCTCAGTTTGCTTGCATTCTTCCATGAGAATTTGGTTCTGCATTGTCACGGCAGGAAGGTAATCATTGCCTGGGTCTTGAATGCTTGTAAGAATCTGACCTATCCCTCGGCTGATTCTCTGCCCATAAGAGCCACTGCTGTTTTTGGCTGAGATTGTCTGACCTCTGTAGACTTGAGCCTGATGCTCACATATACCAAACTTGCTTAGCAGAATAAACACATCTCTTCGGAAAGCTTTGGTGAAAATAGCATAAAGAAAGGGGTTGGCACAAGAATTGAGCGGGTAGAAGAGTACCAGCAAAATCTTGGAATTGGTGACAGTTATCAATGGTTTGTTCATAATGGCAGATAAAGCATGGAAAGAGATGGGAGCCATGCACAGAAAGTCAGTGAAAATCAACACAGCCATCCGCTTGGCAATTTTGGTGTCTTTGTCCCCTGACTTGTACTGAGGGTTTCGCACAGTTACATAGATTTTTATGTAACAGGCACAAATGATGACAAAAGCAATAATGTTACATATTAAAACGAAGACAACGTAGGCTTCAGCCACAGGTGTTTCAGTGTCCATAGGCAAGCAGATGCTGACTTTGCTATAGCTGCTGACGCCAACCAGTGGCAAAAGGGCAAGAAGAAAGCACGAGAGCCACCCTCCCAGCATGATAACCAAGGCATGCCGGAGACGAATCTTTCGATCTGGGCGCATGGCAAAAGTGATGGCGTACCAGCGCTCCAGGGTGATCACAGTCAGTGTGTATACAGAAAGTTCACTAGCAAAGACTGTGAAAAAGCCAGCTGCGTTGCAACCAGGCCCAGTCTGCCATTCTATAGCATGGTTATAGTACTCTGACCTGGTGTAGAGATCCACTGAAGCGATCAGGAGGAGGTACAACCCCATGCAAAAATCAGCAAAGGCCAAGTTACACATCAGAAAGCGTGGTACAGTCAGTTTATAATGGCTGGTGAGAAGGATGAAAAGGACGAAAATGTTACCTAGGATGGCCAGCAGGTTCACAAACCACACCACAATCCTCAGAAACTGATACCCCATTATATCTTCACAGGGATTAAACTCATCAGGTTCTGGAGTGCATATAACTTCTTCATTGCCTCCGCAGACAGGATAGTCGTAATGACTGTCAAAGGTCTGGAAGCCTTCCATTTGAGGGTTCTTGAGCTCTTGGCCAAACCCAAGATTTCCTTCTCCGTGCTCTTCCAAAAAAATGTAATAATGGGAATTTTCATGAAAATTTGTGAACTTGGTGTTTTTGTCATACACAGTATCGGTGTGGTCTGTGTATTCTTCTGCATAATCTTTGTAAAATGGACCTCTGAAAGATTTGACTGATCTTCTCTTACGAAAGCTGTGACTCTCGCTCTGGTTACAAGTCAGGTACTCCAGGATTCTGAAAGAGCAGAGGGGGAAGTCACCGCTGGCACTTACAGTCTGACTGGAGTGCAGTGAATAAACAAAGGGAACGCTTCAAAAGCAAATCACTGTAAATTAAAACATAGCTATAAAAATGTGATCGGATAGATTTCTGTTAACATACAGTGAACAATAAGCTTGAGCGTTTCTGGGCTTTTTTTTAAACTATGTTTTTCCTTTCTTTGTTGCTATCAGCTGCCCCCAGTAGTAATTTGGCTTGTTCAGCATCCATAATCCCTCTTTGGTCTTGGGATCTACATTCATAGTAGGTAACAAGACTTCTATGTACTGTATATAACTTCTTAGATCATACACACAGTATTACTTTCCATTTTTGCTCACAAATCAATTCCTCCTAGAACTTCCATCATTTTCATTCGTGTTCTGTGTATTTTCTGTAGGTGCTTTACAGCTAACTAGCAGTGTAGTGGTTGGGAATCCTGTACCTCATGGTGTGATGCACATGTATTTGTAGTCGAAAATTGTTCATACTTTTTACTAGGAAAAAATTGCAATTTAGCATCAATTTTTTTGATCACTGTGATTCACTGCCACATAATATTTGGCATTTCTCATTTCTAGGTGTGTAGAATTTGAGATTGCTTATAATATGAGATTACATACAATTCAGTCTGAGAAGTTTTCATCTCTACTAATAGACATGCAAATACTTGTTTCTTTCAGTCACTAGATTGTGCTAGGTTCTTTCTGCACATTCTTCCTGCCCAGGTTTTGAATCTCTCCTTTCCTATGTTTTATTTCTTTCCTCACTTTCCCAGTCTGTTGTAATTGTGAATGTTATTGCTTTGTGAGTCTATTATTGAATAATTCATATACTTATCATAGCATATTTTTAATATACTATGCATTTCAGCCAGAAATACTGCTATACTGAAGAATGGGACTGTCTTCCTAAATGAGGGACTGGCCTGGATAAGTATTCTCTAAACCTTATTAAACTTTGGAGAAATTTACCATGGATTTGCATTCTGCAGTAAAATTCTGCTGCTAATCACAGTAAGTCATTGCCCCTCCCTCCTTCCCCCCAGCAGATGAGTTGCTGTGTTGCCTCAGGACATCTATAAATGTTTTTTTTTCTTTCCAAAAGCTATCTGCACCTGTTCTGATAGGTGGTTAGAAATCCTGCCAAAATGGAATTTGAAATAATCTGTCTACAAGGTTATTACAAAATTATTTATTCTGAGTTTTTCAGTTAGAAAACATGTGAGACATGAGGCTATAACCCCTCCAAAACTTCTTTTTCCAGGCCTTGCCACAGCACATTCTGTGTTATAGCACATTACCCTTTTTTTTGACCCTTTAATTCTGGGCTCAGCAAAAGGAGGAGCTGTTACAAAAGGTCCAACAAATTGTTATATCAAATATTCTTTCTTCTGTCGGTTTGAAATTGTAATCTCTCCTTCAAAGAATGTCCTCTATACCTAGAAAAAATGGTTACAAAAGTGCCAATAGGTGTAATTTTATATTAATACTAAAACATTGTCTTTGCTTACGTACTTTAAAAATGATTGTAAGTTAGTGAAACTCACCCACTGTTTTTTTTCCAGCTCTTGAAAGCACAGCAGTGACTTGGATATGATAGGTCAGCTCTCATTAGGTGAAGAAATATCTTTAGAGCTGGCAATTTCTTTAAAGTCCATGTGTTTTTGGCCATTAGTTCTTTAAGGCTTTCCAGTCCTTTGGCTGGAAGGTTAGCAACAGCTGTTCTGGAGACATCCCTAGGTAAAGGAAGAAAAAGACAAACGTCAGAATATCCAGCAACTAGATCAGAATTTTTTTCAGATTCTAACAGTAATTTAGGAGTTTCATAGAATTCTACAGCAAAAATCAAATCCAGAGGAGGTGGGGATTTCATATAACTTTGCTAGGTTCTGATACCATTCAAATTCAAGTAGGACTTGAATTCTTCCTGTGATTTTCTCTGTGTTTTTAAGCTTTTGTCTTTATGTCTCATAGTGCAGAATATGGATGATAAAGAAATATCAGGACTTTTAAAATTACACCTTCAAAGTCAACCAGATACAAATGCATATGCAAAAACAAAGTTTTAAAAATGCTTTAAAGAAATCACATCTTCCATTGGAAGAGCTATTTTCCTTTAGACCTCTTTAGACTCACTTTAACCTGTCAGGATGCTTCAATAGAAGGCATTGTAATTACTAAAGCGATGTTTTTCATAAACTGAAATTAAAATCTTCTATCTCAGTCCATTCTGAAACTTTCAGAAAATATAGTATTATGTTTGCTGCTTTCTATTTCTCTGGTACTGAGTCCATCTCAGCAGATACATTGCACAGTTCATGGGGGAGCTGGATTTCCTTTAAAACTGCCAGGTTAATTTCATCTGGTCCTGCTAGTGTTTTCCACTCATTTTTTGATTTGTGCCAAAACCTCTTCTAATGATACTTGAATTCAAGATGTTTTCTCAGAGTTATGCTCTGTAAATAAGTAAACCTGCAAAAAAGGTTCTAGTGTAGGAACATTGTTTGAGCACTTTTTCAGTATGAACTTCCTAATAATAAATAGTTCAGCTTTTTTCTATGCATTGTTTCCCAGGAATGCTGTTCTTATCCCTCTAGAAGTCTCACCCACTGGCTAGTTTCTTGCATCTAAAAGAAAATTATTACTGATTTTATGTTTTGAACAAATTGCTTCTAAAACATGTGGGTTTGCTCTGCTTTTTTTTCCCATTCTTTTGATTTGCTTGTATTTGGTTTTAAATGGAGTTAGAAATTGCTTCCCCTTTCTGTAGGAGGGCTTTTTTACTTCTAATAACTTCTTGCTATCGTACATATTTGACGTTTGTGAATGTGTCACAACTAGTTGATTTCAATGACATAATCTTCTTTTTTGTTCTTCTGGAGTCCTTTTTGATAGGTAGTATATGTTTCTACCAAGCTCCTGAATTGGCTCTTAGAAGAGCCTGAATGCTGCCTGCTGTCATTTTATGTTTTAAAGAATCACATAATAGTTGAGTTTCCAGATCATCCAGTTTGACCCCCCTGCTCAAAGCAGGGTCACCTGGAGCAGGTTGCTCAGAGCTCTGTCCTGTTGACTTCTCAGCATTTTTTCTAACATGAAAATGGACTTTCCTGTATTTCAGTTTGTGCCTGTTGCCTCTCGTCCTGTCACTGAACACCACTGAGGAGACCCTGGCTCCATCTTCCCAGTTCCCTGCCTCACACCGCTCCGTTTGAAGTATTTATACACATTTATAAGGTTCTTCTGACTCTTCTCCAGACTAAACATTTCCAACTCTCTCAGCCTATCCTGCTGTGCACCAGTCCCTTAACTTAGTGGCCTGCTCCTGTTTGGTTTTCACTAATTTCCTCATTTTACAGAGCTCTCCTTCTGAAGCAAAACATCTTGGTAAACTAGGTCTTGGACTAGATCTTACCAAGACAAGGCTGGCCTTTCAGCAACCCCCATGGGTCTCCATCAAGTCCTCATGGTGGTGGCAGCTACCTGCAGGAAGGGAACATGGTTAAATGCTGTGTGATGGGAAGTGCTAAGACTTTTTGGAAAGCAAATGACACCTCTCAAACTCTTGGGAATTCTTTGAAGATACTCTGACACAAGCATATGGAGAAAGATGATCCTGTTTGTACAATGAATTGGGATTTCTGAAAAGCCTTGACAAAATAAGATATCAAGGGCTGTGGAGGTAACTAATCTGTTATGTGACAAGGGGAATGACTCTCCTGGATTAATTCAAAAAATAAAAAGAGGAGGGGAAAAGCCTGGGAACAGATGATAAGTTTTCATGCTAGAGGAAGAATGGAAAATGAACTGGTATCTGAATAATACACATCATGGCAGCAGAGGCCCACAGAGGCTAGGCTAGCACTGGTATTTCAGAAATATTCATAAACAGTCTGGAAAGAGTATGAGAGTAGCTGCAACAAAGCTTGTGTTCGATGCAAAATAATACAAAGTATTGAAAGCTAACACTGAACGTCTAAAGAAGCAGAAGGTTCCTGCAATACTGAGTGACTGAGCAGCAAAATAACTGACATGATTCAATACTAATGAATGTAAAGTGCATTTAGGAAAAAGCAATCTTAAATGTACATGGATGACAATGGGTTTTAATTTACCTATCACTCTGGAAAGATCCTGGAGCCCTCTCTGCAAATGTCGGGTCAGTGCTATTTAGCAATGTTGAAAGGAAATAGAGTGCTAAGATTAGGAAAAAATAGAAAATAGAAGAGAAAAACACTTTGTAAATCTGACTACATCTTAAATACTGTATGCAGTTCTATAAATACTATACACAGTTTACAATAAGAGCACAGAAAACTACAGAAAGGGTGATTAAAAGTATCAAATTGTGTATATATGAAGTAATAAGGAGTAGGCAAGGACTTTTCTCTTGGGAAAAGCTAGGACTGGAAGCAGTAGTAGACTATAGATGCCATGCATATTGTAAAGAAGATGATTGGGAATGATTATTCACTCTTGTGAGATGAGTTTGGGGGCATCTAAGAATGTGAGGCAGGAGACTTAAAAACGAGAAAAGGTATAATCTTTTCACAAAATTGCAACATTAAATTGTGGAAGTCAGTGCCATGGTTCATTGTGCAGGCCAAATAGCAAGGTAACAAGAAGGACAATATCCCTTTTTGTTTTGGTTTTATTCACAGTTGTGTCACACTCCCATCAGAAATGACTGAGTCAGGAGGAACATCCGGGGGGACAAGGGCTTGTGCCTTGGAAACGGATGCAGAGCGGAGCCTCTCCGGGACCCGGGGTGTGCAGGGGAGGGAGCTGCAGCTCCTGGAGAGCTGCAAGCAGAAGGGAGCAGGTAGCCCAGGGCTCAGGTGGTGGAAACAATTTCTCAGGGAGCAGAGGGGAATGTGCAAAGTCTGTGGCAACTCAAAGAGTGTTATGAAGTGATGTTAAAAAGTCTGAAAGAAAGATCTGTTCAGTGAGAAGAAAGGGCTTAGAAGAATTAGTTGTAAGACTACATAATTTCTGTTCTATCTTACTGCATCTTTTGGAGTCTTTTATGTATGTTTATATGAGTGTGTATTTAAGCAGTTGGGTATTGCAGTTTTATTTTCCAAAACTGCTTGTTTTAAACTGAGGAGCTTGTGGAGAAGACAGAGGTACAGCTGTCTTGAAATTCTAGTTGACTTAGGACTAGTCCTGTTGCAGATCTAACAATAGACGATTGGTCCCATCCATGGGCCGTATTAAGCACAATGGCTCAGAAGTTTGGAAGTTTCCAAAATCTCCATTTTGGGAAGGCCCTAAACTGATGGTATGGTTTCGGCCATCAAGAGGTCTTATGACCTCTCTGTACTGCTGCTATTGGAAATGGAAAAGCGTCCTGGGAGTCTGGCCATAATTTGTCTCCCAGTGGAAGACAACTTCTTAGTTACCCTACCTAGGCCCACACTTTGTTAGAGACAAAGTGTGTGTCAACTGGCCAGAGGAAAGTGTGGGGTTGAGAGGGATTTTCTTTTTAGTTTACAAATCCAGTCTTGACGATTATCTATTCATATTCACAATCTACTTCAAGCAGCATAGCAGCTGTCTTCAAACTAGAAAGCATAGGATTGAAAAGGTTTTAACTAACAATTATAATCTTCAAAGCAATGTAGCAATGTGAATTCAAGTAGTTGGAGTTTGCCAGACTATAGTATCTGTGTCTGCATTCATACAGATGACACATTTTCCTAAATGATTTCTTTGTTCTGTGTCATTGTACAATCAGTCTTGCTTTTGGGCTGCTTAGAAAAATGGGAACTGACTGCAGTTATGTCAGCCTCATTAACATCTACTAATATTGATAACTAAGATGTTGTTTAAACACAGCAATATTTACATTGCACAGAAGAGTGTCTTGCTACTACTACTAAGCTGTAGCTGGCACACTTGAAGAAGAAACACAAGAGAATGGGCAAGAGGTCTGATAGACATGTCAAGGGGATCTGTCTCAAACTGAGGTGACTATAAAAGAGGTTAGGCACAAACTGATAAAATGAAAGAGAAAAAGTCACAAGGACTGGGTGGTTTTCACCAATAAGTTCTGAAGCAGCTCAAGGAGGAAGTAGTTGAATTGGTAAAAGAGGTGTGTAACCTCCAACTTAGTCCCCCGCAGGAAGGCAGCAAATGAGCCACAAACTAGTATGATATACTGGGGGGAAGTCAGCATGTAAAGGGCTTTTGTAAAAATAAGTCTTGCCTTACACACCTCTCTGAGGGCAGTGATTAAGTCTGTGCAGAGTCTCCTGGGACTTCCACAAGTCCTTTGACAGCCCCACAAAGGCTGATATGGAAGTCAGGCAGGCACACTCCTTGTGGGAGACATCAAATGTTCAGGATTATGGTAAAATGCTAGCAAAATTCACTTCTAGCCTAGATCCAGACCAGACTTTAGCAGTTAAGTAGCTGTGGTCTAGAGCTTGCTGAGGTACTGGAACTGGTCTGTCTGTGGTAACGTAGAGCTCTACACTGTGGAGCATAACAGCAACCACAGTGCACTCAACTGATTTTAACACTGTGGCTTGTTAGCTGGTTTGTTTTTTCACATGCTTTTTTATAAATCTCATGTGACATTTCTAGGCTGTTGCTTGCCTTACATGAAATTTACACATTGGACTGAATGTCGCAGAGACATTGGAGAGCTTCAGATGAATGTGGGAATAAAACACAGCTTATGATTTAAGAGATGTTGTTTTCTGCACCAACTGTGTATATGATACAAGTGTTAAACAGATACTTAGCTGCTCAGATTTGATTTTTTTTTTTTTCTGGGATTTTTGTTTGGGTTTTTTTTTGGTCTAATTCATTGTTTCTATGAAGTCAGAAGTTCACAACTAGATATATGGAATAATAGCTTTTGTTAATAATCTTTTTCACAACTGGAATCATGCAACTGTAGTATGAAATCAGGTAATAATGAGACTTTCAAAGACAGATAATTGAGAAAATGAGATTGAATTCATCATAGTACCATTGGGAATTTTTACCTAATCATATGCAGATTTCTGAGTACTGCAATACTACAATAGTTAAAAAAGGGGTTAGACTACAGATATGATTTCTGTCTACTGAGAGATTCTTTAAATCTACAAATTTGCATGGTTTGATTAGCAGAATGCAGAGTGCTCCTGTTGCTCAAAGACTTGCTTGTGCCCAATGGCAGGAACAGAACAAAACATCCTAAGGTAGGACCCATTCTTAGATTGGGAAATGATGCTTTAAAGAGCACTTCTGCTTTCTAAAGACAGTTAACGTATCTTGTGTAAGTTAGTAATGTTTTGAATTTGGACTGTATGTTTTGCAAAAGACAATTGAATGATGAGCCTGATTGTATTTTTGATGTACTCTGTTGAACTTGTGCTCTAGGCAGTAGCTCTTGTTGGTGCATGTAGTAAATCAGGTTCACTGAGTTGCTGAATCCTAGTCAAGATTTCATTTTCATGCGAAGAGCCATGTATCGTCTTTATACTCTTAAAATAGTTTTCTAAAGGGAGCAATTTATGTATATATCCACATACATCTGAATATACACAGTGACAAAGGAATTAGAATTATTGGCATCTATTCTCCTCTATTCAGTGATGACACTCCCTGCTTCCTCAGCTATTGTGAACTGCAAATCGAAAAAAAAATTACCTAACTTTTTAATACCTACTTAAATATACCATCTAACTAGGTGGTCTGAGAGCACAGCCAAAGTCACACAACATATGTATAGCCAAGCACAATTCTTTGTAGTTAAGTCTTTCTCATTGGTTTTCTTTAAAGCCAAAATGGAAGAAAATCACCCAATTAGGGTGGATCCAAGGTCAGTATTTCAGCCTTTAAGTTGCTGTTGCTGCTGAAATCCCAACTGGAAAAAAAACCAGTAAATGATAAATCTGTGGGGCAGACGTTCCATCAACCATAAATTCTTATCTCACTTCAAGAGTGCATAAAGGGAACTCTAGAAACTGTGAATTCCACCAGCTTAGTAGAGAGGCAAGACAGAGTCTCTTTTTTTGAGCTCCATAAATGGTCGTCCTCCCCCCCCCGCTTCCACTGTAAGTAATGCCATTCATTGCCCGAGATAAAGGAACATTTATCTTCCAGCAATCGTTTTCCATAGGGTTAATTTTCAAGAGGAAACAGTATTGTAAGTAGAACTTTCTTTTTGAGGAAGAGCCAATGTCCACAAATTCCCATGCCAGCTAAGAACAGCTAGATGCCTGAACCAAAAATGACTTCACAAATTATTTATTAAAATAAGCCAAGTTCTTTACCCAAGGGGGATATAGAAGGGCTGTATTGGTCAGACTTCTCAGGCTATTATGCAAGTTAACAAATCTCTGGTCTCTCTATAATTAACTCCTTAACATCCATCTTGATGGTACAGTGGGGGGTGTGTAATAAAGCATCAATTGCAAGCACATTTCTGTCTCCTGTGAGAGATGTCAATG